AAGCGACGGGGATGGCACCGCTTCAGACCCCCGTGTGATAAGGTCCTAGGAGAGGCTGCACCAGTTTGCTTTTGCCTGAGCCAACTGGGAAGGGCAAAACTACACTCCATCTTCTCCTCTCCCCTCTGCTTAGGTTACTGGGTGCAAACTACTTTTGTTCTTTGAACTGAACAGTTCATTTTGTAGCAACTGGAGTAAGCTGAGGATCAAGGGGGAAAGTGGGAGGAAGAGACAGAAATGGGAACATTTTAAAAGCAGCTGGAAAAGTTGAATAACATAAGATTAATCAGGACTATTCCTGCCAAATCAGGATACTTGGAAGGTATGCATCTTTACTTTGAGGGGCACATTTCACACACAGAGGCCTAGTAGTTAATCCCAGGTTAAGCATTGAATCAAATGTTGAATGGTGAGCCAAGACCTAGGTAAATCCCACTGACTTAATGGTCCTACTCTAGTTATGAATAGCAATAAGATTTAGACCAGATAATTTATCATTGTTGTTCTGTGCCTTCAAGGTCTGATTTATGGTGACCTTAAGGTGATCCTCTCACTGGGTTTTCTTGCCAAGATTTGTTCAAAGGGGTCTTACCCTTGGTTTCCTCTGAGGCTGACATCCAGTGGGTTTCCATTGCCAAGCAGGGATTCGAAACCCATTCTCTAGGGTTGTAGTCCAGTGCTCAAATCCCTACTCCATGCTGGCAGAGAATCCAGGTGGAGTAGCCTGTTCGCCATTTGCTGCCAAAGCTACCAAGAGCCTTGTGGCATCTTAAAGACTATTACGTTTTATTTGGCATAAGGCTTTGTGGATCAGATGAATTGCATTGAGTGAAGTGGGCTGGAATCCATGAAAGCTTATGCCAAATAAAACTGGTGAGTTTCTAATGTGTTACCAGGATCAGATCTGGTTAGTACATAAATGGGTTACCATGTGCGGATACCAGGTGCTATAGGCTATTTCAGAGGAAGGGACTGGCAAAATTGCCTCTGAGTATTCCTTGTCTAACAAAATCCTATGAAATTCATGGGGTTGCCATAAGTTGACAGATGGCTTACAAACACACACATTTTGCCACAAGGCTCTGTTGTTTTTTCTTTTTAAGGACAATTCTAATCCCAATGCCTCCAAAGAAGACAGTTGCTGTCACTTTTAAAAGTAGCATGATATACCTACTCTTAAAAGCAGCTAAAATTTGGAACTTTTAGGTTTTTTTTAAAAAAGAAACCTCTGAATCCTATCCCTTATTGGCCTGTGACCCAAAACACTCCTTTTCTTTTCACCTTGTTGCACAGAGCATGAAGCACCTCTTGGGCCATAAGTCTTTTGCCCAACCATGCACAGAATTGTTTCCCACTTTGGAATCAATTCTTTGCAGCTGAATTTGTAATGATTCTTTGATCTGCCGCAACGAGGAGGTTGGCTTTAGCTATTGGCCCTGTAGCATGAAAATATTTACCGGTACATGGGTGGCACAACCTGTTAACTAGAGCCAAAATAGTCACCTAGAGTTGTGTTTTCTCACCTGTTGGCAACCCAATCCCCCACTCATGATTCAGCCCAGACTGAATTTGAACTGGTCCTTAACTGAAAACCCAAAGCTCAACCCTGTAACATTTGATATATGAAGAGAGGGAACATTTCTTAAAATGTTCAGGAGCCCTGAGATGAAAAATATAATGCTCCTTGGCTGTGGATTCTAGAGAGCTCTGAGACTCCTTTAAAAATTAAGCACTGCTTCTCA